AGAAATAGTTCCTGCAGCCCTAAGCAASTCGTTAGAACTAAACTTTTTGCCGACAAAAATAACAAAARCGTTTCGGCTCCCGGCAAGATAACTGCTTTGAATTTTTATGCATCCTATAATGAACACATAGCAAAATTCTACTTTAAAATTCTTGATTGAAAAAATGCATAGATATATCTGCCATGCATAGCCTAGTGACTTTATTTATTGAGGTGATTCCAAATAGCTTTTAAAAATTAATTTCCATCTTTCACGATATATTTTATCAATAKTTCAACTCGGAGAGATGTTTCAGTGCCGTCATGTTTTGACTTCAATGTAAACATAGGCGCGCAGAGGCTGATGGTATACAATCGCTCTTGAATGAACAGTTGATTTCCTATTAATACTCTAATAGTTGTGTTCATTCTGACAATTAATAATCTGCTGTTTATTTAATTGTCTGTAATGAATGGAATAAATCTATGCCATCTATGAACTTAATCCTCGTTGGCGATAATATTATATACTCTAAAAGTTTCGGCATACTCTAGCTTACTCTCACGCAATGTTTTGTTAATATTTTTGATTGTCAAATACCTGCTGTTGACGTGGTATTACGATGACACATGGTAAAATTGCTATATATGTTCGTGGCCAACTACTTTATCATACAAAATGTTTAAAGTAAATCATTTCTCAGAGTATAAAGATTCATTGTCACTTTTCAAGAATAGTCTCTTTTATAATTTATACGGTTGGGAATGCAGCCACTCGGCAACTTATAAAAACCCTTGAATGGCAATTAGAAACATGCGCATAGCCGTGAAACGGCGCAATCCGATAAAAAAATTCTGTTTTGACAAAGTTTTCACAATGAAAGTCTCCTGTCAYGAAGTAAGAAATAGGGTTGAAGATAAAAAAAACATCAAGCCAGTTTTGACAACCTGAAGTTTGACACTGTCGCTATCTTGAGGGGGCAGGAAGCACTTATGAAAAGGGTGGMTAGCGTGTGAGGCTGGATCGGTGGYTCGTCTGAGATCGAAGCAGTAAGTGTCATCGCGGAAGTGTTTGTTCTCAGTCGGCCTTAAATAGATGAAATTGCAATCCAGCTGCATGCTTTTTTGTATTAATCATAAACGTATGACTATATGCGAAGAATAGTGTGATCAATCCGTGTTCGGACCATTTCATTTCACAACTTTTATAGATCCTATTTTCTCAGGGTAAAAAAAAAAATCGGGTCGCAATTGCTCAATGCAAGGCTAATTAAACTAGCCTGATTTTCTTTCGGGGATTGAGACTAGATTAGCCAGGATTAACTCCATTTTATAGTGTTAATCGGGCTTTTAAACAACCTTGCCCTGATAACACAAGTATGATAAAATCCATTTTTTTAATTAGCTTAAACACATCACTTTTAGTCTGTCTGTCCTTTTCAAATAACCTGACACTGAGTTATATAACATACGGCAACAAAAGGTGGATTCCCCAAGACAAGAGAATGCAGTCTATCTACATATCTGCTATCTACATATCTGCAGAGAAAAATCCACAGCGCCCTCTAAATACAATGTTTGTAGATCTGTTTGTAGATGTTCCTCAATTTTTGTTWTGAACGAAGAATGTGAAGTTGCTTTGCGTTACTTGCGTAAAGATCACCATTACATCATTTTGATCAAAGAGGACCGATACTTAWATGGGACAATTAATGTAATTTAGACTGATATCTCACTACCACCCGGCAGTGAGGGTGAAGATCGGCCGATAATCTGAAATATAGTAACCATCTATGGGTTTTCAAGCAGATTATATGACGACAACAGTCGTTTACTGTATACTGCTAGTTACAATATAGTCATCACTATCAAACGGTTTAAGCATAGTAATCGAAACGTCAATTATCAAAATCACTCTGGTTTCTCACAGAAAAATGGCAAGTCAAATTTAGGGCGATTTTTTTTTACTTATTTCTTTTTGTGCGTACTGACAAAATAGCAGAAATAGGGCATTTTGACTAGCATTTTTTGGCGTGCAGACTGCGCTCAATAGCGAGTTTTAGATGAGACGATAGCATATATCACCCGAACTTTAATGAAAATACCAATAGCATTCAAACTGTGGGCATAATTCAAGATAAACAATTTGACTTCAAGGTGAATTAAGGAACAAATGCAATGTAGAGCTGGATGTAGCTTTTGGTTCGTCAAACACAGCACGGGTACAATGTTACCTTTTGCGTCGTTTTCTTAGCCAACTCCTAGAAATTACAGGCCCTGTTGTCTTCTTGTTATTTTATGGATAATGTTCCTCAAGGAATTTCTCTTGGACAGCAAAGTCCTCCGTATCACCGACTATGAAAAAATGACACGTGGGGCCATTCCATTGACGGAAGGATTGGAGTGCAAATGCGGCACTGATAATACCGTTATAACTTTCTWTATCACAAGACGTAGACTATTTYAAGTACTRGGTGTAACGGATGAAGTGTACTATTTACGAACCACACTAGCTTCTTCAGAGCGTGTAATGCATGTAGAGGTGTTTACGTTAGGAGCGGTATATCAGTGTGACCTATGGACTTCCGAATACCTTGTAAATTATTTGAACCTTCGAATGAGATAAGCTAACACCCAAATGTCTTATAAGATTAGTCACGAATCGGCCAGTCAAAAATCACGGCTACACTTTCGTTTGGATGATTGGTAATTGAACTTTTTCACATCGAATAATGATTTTCTATTTTAGGAAAGCTGTAAGTGTAGGATTAATTGCCGAGTGTCTATTTCGAGTTCAGTTATATCAATGTCAATATCAATTGTTGCCACGATCAATACGCTTTATTTCGAGTAATTATCACAAAGGTTTGCTACAATGAATTCAAATAAAGTTGTCTAAATAACTAGTTAAATCAGAAGGTATTATATGTCAATATTCTATATGATTATAATCACAGTGTACTTACATCTGGTGGCGTTTTCGGTGTATTTCAACTTAATTCCAATGTCTAATTTCAACTATCACAGATTTAATGGATCGTCGAGAGATGTGAGTTCCGAAAATGTAATATGATCTAAACGTGTCACACAATCAATCTAAATGTCCAATCATTTATAGCTTAAGTAACAGTAATATGATTATATAAGGTACATATATTTGTGTTCCATACATCCTGGGCCCCGATGAGGCAACAGGGTTGTGTCATCTTCAGTCTTGTGCGCCTTCTAGAAGGCAGAGCTTCCTGATGGGGCGGAGAAATACTGCGCCCTTGGTCTTCACTTCAGCACTCCTGACTCGTCCGTCCTTGCCTGGGTAGACCTTCAGGATGCGTCCGAGAGGCCACTGTCCTCTGGGTGTGTTGTCGTCGGCTATAAGGACCATGTCGTTTGGGGCGAGGTTCTTGCGAGGGGTGGTCCACTTTTGCCGTTCTTGCAGTGTTGGGAGATACTCGCGGACCCACCTTTTCCAGAAGTGACAAGCGAGGAGCTGTGTCTGTCTCCATTTCTTCCTGCCCAGGATGTCCGCTTCGTCGAATTCACCGGGAGGCAATGCCATAGCGGGTTGCTGTAGAAGCAGGTGGTTGGGTGTGAGCGCCTCCATGTCTCTCACGTCGTCCGAATTTGGACAAAGGGGTCTTGAGTTGGCAATACCCTGAGCTTCGGCAAGTASAGTTCTCAGGACCTCTTCSTCCACTAGTCGTTCRCCAAGGATAGCCTTTAGTGATTTCTTTACACTCTTTATAAGTCGTTCCCACACGCCTGACATGTGTGAGGCACCTGGAGGGTGGAATACCCAGTCACAACCTCGTTGTTGTAACTCTTTGTTGATCCGGCGCTGGTTCCACTGCTTGATGGATTCACGAAGCTCGCGCTCTGCGCCGACAAAGTTGGTACCATTATCCGAGCGGAGCTCCTTGACATTTCCTCGAATGTTTAGGAATCTTCGTAGAACCATGATGAATGCGTCCGTCTCGAGAGATTGGGCCAGCTCTAGATNTATCTTAAGTAGACCGATGCATACTATTTCAACGATGACTTTATCAGCAATTATCGAAAAACTACCCCTTCGGTTATCTTAAACAAAATATGAATGAAATGTGGTGTTTTGTTTTTTTTGTTTTTTTGTTTTTGGAAAAACGAGTGTAATTAATGGCGTCCTTACCTTYTTAAAACGTATACTCAACTCAGCTCGCAGTTCTTCACTCGGAACGTCTCTTTATATAATAAGCGCAAGGCACCGGTCTCTTTGACTAACCCTCAAGTAAAACTAACTTCTTATCTATACACCCACCCAGAGGGGGACTGACGTGCATATTTGTACAGTACGATCAGTAAATGGGTGTGAACAAGGGATTTTTTGCCCCTAATACTATTAGTCCAGTATCGGTSAGTTTAGATACGGATATGAGTTAATTGGAATTATATGATAAAAATCGGGCACAGTTCGTAAGTCAACAACAATTCAGACTTTATAAAATGACCACCATGACTGAACAATAGTTGTCTGGAAAACTAGCTCTTGAGCCAGCCAAAACCAGTTCTTACTAGAARTTAGTTTTCTCCTTTTGAATGTGATAGAAAGTCAACTGATAATTTGATGTATATAAAGTAGCCATGGGCAACTATTTTATCGCTAGCGCCGATTATTCTWTGTGTCTAGTCAATACTAAAAAGACGGCAGAGATCAAAACCTCTCCTATAAAARTAACTTACAAAAAAAGCCCAGAGGCTTATCAGAAATAAACAAAAACCAAAAATTGATTTTTTTTGGTGGAGTCTTTCCTAAAGAAGTTCTTGTAATAGTTTCAATACATTTGTGTCAAGAAATGACCATAAAAGTCCATCRTCAGACGACTTCACAGAATCCGTCCATGCATAGCTTTCAATATGATTTATTGTAAGGGCGATGAAAACATGTTTTTCAAGACTATAATTTGAACACTAACATAGTCATCAATCAGCTGATTTGGAAGTATGTGRTTCTAAATAATCCCCTCTTGWGAGTATTTTTGACCGAGTCTGAACTAATTTCCTAATTCACGATGGGATTCCTGTGTYAGTCYTAGCAACACGCGAAAACGAGGCARYGCGACTGTTTGCTAGAAGACGCTTTGTGATTGGTTGTTGTTCAACGGTCTGGGAAATTCAACATGGAAGACATGACAGTGTTTTGATCGTGCTCTTCGATTTTTGATGGTTTTCATTCGTGTATTTTTCCTATTGAGAGAGGAATACCACAGAAAGAAGTCTTATAATATTACTTTATAATGCCGACCTCGGGGGAAGCTAGACTTTTAAAGAAGAAGCAACTTGGCCCTAAATCACGAAGGTGAGAACATAAGCTTACAGTCGCTTACAGGTGRTTTTGTCGATTCGGTTATTTATTTAACCCCGCCGTCTAGCTTCAAAAATCTACTAGTAATTCATATTCAATTGTAAATATTGCTGTAAAATTGATATTATTCTAGGGAATATAAACAATGAGATAGAAGTCACCAAACGCCTGAATATTACGAGTTTTCATACTGTGTCTGAAGCTTGCAACTCGATCTATATAAGCTTAAGTTATTATTAGGCCTTATTTTCAGATTTGTTCTCTGTTTTCATTGCTTTCCTTTTACCTAGCACATCTAATGTGAAGTCCAAAAAAACAGCATCTACTTCAAGACTTCCAGTAGCCAAGAAAAGGTACAATCTAAGATCTTATTTATTATATTAAACAATTTATTCTTAATCGGTCAACTTTGACTTATAAGAAAAATACATSTAGTTTTTAATAACTACAGTGTACATGTGATTACTTTCTTATCATCATGATAATTTTTAGAATCTAATATTGTCTTCTATGAAGAGAATTTTACTTTGTTTTGGCTTCTAATTAAGCTTATCATGATCATTATGATTTAGTTATACTATGATGTTGTTGTTTTATTTTGTAGCTCTATCAACAGAGGAAAGGAAAACACCGAACCAGTAAGACTWTCAACATTGATCAGATGGAAATGCATATCTTAAAAATATATCAAAAACAGGCTTAATTGTTTGATTGAGCAACTACTTCAATGAATCTGTAAAATGCACCTGAAATGCTGCTACATGTGTAAAATAGACTGAATTATTCCAAACTTGCACCATTATAGTCATAATAATTGATAGCATAATTATATATGTGGCATTCCATTTTTTTACCCCTACGGYCATATGGTAGAATACTGCTGTATATTCTACATGTATTTTTTATTCAGTAAAATAGTCATAAACCACACATGCTATTTTTGTCTGTGGACCCTTGTTGTAGGGTAATTCTGGTTGTAAACCATTGCCTCGGTCAATACCAGTCATATCTTATCAATGTTATTCTGTAGATATTGTATGTAGATCTGAATTTCTTGATGACTKATTACAGAACCAAAAATTGAAAGCAAAACCAGCACCAGATTTTTCAAAGCTCCATAACAAATGGAACAAACARTTTGAAAAGGTACAATGAAAATAAAAAAAAATTGTTATACAATCCTGGGTTATGCAGACTAACTGAACAATAAATTATCAATTTATTACTCATTGTTTTAAAATTATTATACTAAACAGGGTAAAGCTGTTTCAAAGAAGATTAATACCAAGGTGTGTTCATTATAGTCACTAGTCGAGTAACTGAGTTTTATCAGACATTTGACCCATATTTACCCCAAGAAAACCTTTGTATTAATAAAAACAATTACCATTTGTCTTGCCATTAGCATGCATGTCTAAAGTTATTCTTGACTAATGATTGTTTTTTATCAATACTAGACAAAACCATTTGTTTTGACTGAAAACAACAACAACAGACCAAGAAYACTGCAATCAAGCATCAATMATGAAGARGAAAACAKTGAACTGGACTGCAATGAATTTGAAATTGATCCAAGTGCATTACAAGGAATTCTGAACAATACTGGGATTGAAGTATGTAATACAGTGAAAACAATATGACATTTTTAGCCTGTGTTTATAGTTCCTATTGGGGAATGAAAATTAGGGAAAGGAGGGGATATGGTGTAATTATCAAGTGGCATAATGACACATGCTACACAATCCATGTGGTGCCCGTATACATGTAGCTACCTAAAAACAATAAAATCAATAAAGCAATAATGAAGGGTGTCAAAAATTAACACTCATGACCATAGTTTAATATCCAGTGGATAAAAGTAATAGAGTGGATAACTTTATCCATGAACTTCTCATACAACCAAGAATATTTGTAGCAAGCTGCATAAACTTCTTGACTAATCCAGCTATTGCAATTAAGATTTTAATAGAGTCAATTTCGTATGAGTGGGAAACGGACGATACTGTACTGTAACCGTAATCGTACTGTAACCAAATTCTAGTGTCTCATAAATGCTTCACAAAAATTGTGCAGGCCAGGTCCGGTAACTGTGTGGTAACCATGCGGTAACGGTGTCCCACTCATACGAAATTAACTCTATTTAGACACTGTAATTACACTTACAGGTACAAGAAAATGAATCACAGATTAAAGCATCTGCTACAACACAACAAAGGTTTGTATCAAACTTACATGTTATTGTATAGTATCATGCTTTTGGTTACTAGGCAACAAACCAACAAAAAGAAATATTAGCACAATATGTAGTATTTCATTTTTCACTATCTATTTATTGATTGAGTGGAGTTTCACAGAATGAAAGTAAAAAATACAAGTATGAACTGCTGTCTGCCCCAATTCCCTTAGAGGGACCCAGATGCATACTTAGATGTGGCAAGGGTGGTCTAGGGTGGCAAGGGTGGTCTAGTGGTTAAGCTACTGGCCTCTCACCGCTGTGGTCCGGGTTCGATTCCTGGGCACGGACCATATGTGAGTTTGAGTTTGTTTGGTGTGTTGTTCTCTCCCTTGCCACGAGGGTTTTTCTCCGGGTCCTCCGGTTTTCCTCCCTCAGTAAAAATCAACATGTGAGGAGTGTTGTGTGCTAAAATAATTAATGTNACACTCTTTATAAGTCGTTCCCACACGCCTGACATGTGTGAGGCACCTGGAGGGTGGAATACCCAGTCACAACCTCGTTGTTGTAACTCTTTGTTGATCCGGCGCTGGTTCCACTGCTTGATGGATTCACGAAGCTCGCGCTCTGCGCCGACAAAGTTGATACCATTATCCGAGCGGAGCTCCTTGACATTTCCTCGAATGTTTAGGAATYTTCGTAGAACCATGATGAATGCGTCCGTCTCGAGAGATTGGGCCAGCTCTAGATGGACTGCCCGTGCAGTCATACACACGAAGATACAACCGTATCTCTTGGCAGTGCCACGTCCACGCTTCACTTGAAGTGGGCCGAAGTAATCAATTCCTGTGAAGCTAAAGGGGGGCTCGTATGGGGTTACTCTAACCTTTGGGAGTTCAGCCATCTCTTGTGTCATCTTCTCAGCATGTAGCCGTTTGCAGAGGAAGCATTTTCCKATTACCTTCTTAATCGCCGATCTGCCTTTTACCACCCAGAACTCTTGACGTAGGGTTGCCAGTATGTGCTCTTGCCCGCAATKGCCAAGGGTTTCGTGATGGTGGCTGATGATCAGTTGTGTGACATGGTGGTTCTGCGGTATTATCATCTGATGCTTGGCGTCATACGTTATTGGTGCCTCGGATATCCTCCCAGACACGCGAAGGAGCCCGTCCTGGGTCAGCATAGGTTTTAGTTTGACAATGCTGCTCTTTGGGGATACACAGAGACTGTCGTGGCTGCCGTCTTTCTTGGGTGTTAGGTCTTTTATTTCTTCAGGGAAGGAATGTCTTTGGACCGTTGCGATGATCAGTGTCTTCGACGCTTTGAGCTCTTTCGCACTTAAATTCCTATCAGGAATATTTTTCCTTCCAGATTTCAGCCAGTTGATGAATTTGACTATCCAGGCGAGGCTGTTTTGTAACTTCGTCCAGGTGGAGCACTTGTTGATCATCTCTTCAATAGGTTTCTGTTTCCTGGTTTCGGCGTCTGTGACTAGGATTATCTTCTCTTTCTTTATCTCGAGCTGGTTGTCGGGAATCTTGTCGATCTGGTTGGTGGGCCACTTCGCTTCGACTTCAGTGAGGAACTTTGGTCCTTTCAACCAGCGCTCGTTGTCAAGAAACTCTTTCGGGTCCAGGCCTCGAGAACAGTCGTCAGCGGGGTTGACCTTCTCGGGGCAGTGTCTCCACTGTTCCTTTTCAGTTGTCTCTCGAATCTCATTAAGTCGGTTGGCGACGTAGGTTTGGAACCTCTTGATTTCGTTGTGGATGGAGTATAGGGTGATCATGCTGTCAGTCCAGAAGGTGGTCTTTGTGATGGGAATATCGAGCTCGGCTTGGATAAATCTGTCCATTCGTACTGACAGGACTGCACTCTGTAACTCAAGTCTTGGAATTGTTGGAGCACGTAGAGGGGTGTTGCGGGACTTTCCAAGGAGAAATGAGCACATGATCATCCCGTCAGGGTAGACTACTCTAAGGTAAGACACTGAGCCGTATCCTATTTCTGAGGCATCACAGAAATGATGTAGCTGGACCTCACCTTCTAGATAGTGGATCTTGTAGCTGAAATAACATCGTGGGACATGGACGTTTGCCATCAGGGGGAGAAGCTCCTTCCACTCTTTCCATCGTCGTAGGAGTTGCCCTTCAAGGGGCTTGTCCCAGGGTAGTTTTCGTTTCCAGCATTCCTGCATTATTTGCTTGGCTGAGAGTACTACAGGGGCAGCGAATCCTTGTGGGTCGTAGAATGAGGACACATATGAAAGCACTCCTCTCATGGTGTCTGGTTTGTTGCATTGTTCGACCTTAAAACCAAAATTGTCTTCTTCCACGTTCCACTTTACTCCAAGTGCGCGTTCTACTGGGAGTTCGTCAAAGTCTAGATCCAACGATGGGTTTGCTCGTTCTTGTGAAGGAATCGACTCAAGAACTGCACGACTGTTCGACATAAACTTAGTGAGCCTGAAACCTCCCTTTCGCAGCATTTCCATAAGATTTCTTGCAACGCTCGTTGCAAGTTCTTCATTCTTTAACGCCATTAGCATGTCATCGACGTAGAAATTCCTCAGAACGGTATTGATCACAGTATCGTCTTATTCCGTCTGGTTGTCAAGTGCTGTCCCGCGAAGACAGTAGTTCGAACAACAAGGGGAGTCTGTTGCTCCAAAGATGTGCACCGTCATGACATACTCTTCTGGAGGCTCGTCGATGCTTCCAGTCCACCAAAGAAATCTGAAGGCATCTTGATCTTGTGGGGCTACTTTAACCTGATGGAACATCCCCTCAACATCGGCTACGAGGGCAGTCTTTTCTTGGCAGAATCGTAGTAGTACTCCAACTAGGTTATTTGTCATGTCTGGCCCTTGCAGGAGCTTCTGGTTGAGAGAGGTACCCGCATGTTTTGCCGCAGCATCGAATACAACCCTGACCTTTCCTGGTTTGTTCGGGTTGATCACTCCATGGTGTGGAAGATAGTTGGTCTTGGGTGACCTTTTCTTTACCTCATCTGCAGATAATTTTCTTGCGTATCCACGCCCAAATGTATTCTTCCGTAACCTTTCTGTACAGTCCTTCGAACTCAGGGTCACGCTCGAACTTCCGTTTCAGACCCTTCAGTCGATTCTGGGCCATGCTCCTGTTATCGGGAAGTTGTGGGTCATCGTCTTTCCACAAAAGACCAGTCTGGTAATGGCCACCTTTGAAACGTGTCGTCTCCTCAAGAATCGACTCAGCACGGCGGTCTTCTACAGACGTTGCTTTTGATGGGTCGAGTCCTGCATTTTCGATTGTCCAGAATGCTTCGACCTTATCTATTAGTTGTTGATCGAGGAAATTGATGCTAATTTCTCGTTGTGTTGGTTCCTTTCCGTCAAGGGGGCCTGCTACGGTCCAGCCGAGTACTGTTTTGGTTGCGTATAGTTGACTTACTTCCTCGTCAGTAGGGGCCTTTACTTCCAGTACAATGTGCGCATCTCTGACATCTTGGCCAATAATAAGGGAGACCTTTGGGATTTGCACCTCAGGGACTTGGATGCCTGACAGGTGTGGATGCTGTATGTAGTTGATCTCGTGCGGTAGAATTCTCTCGTTGATCGGTAGGTCCTTTACTAGACCTTTATGTACTATAAGAGTTGGATTTTGAAAAGTATTAGTAGCAGCTTGCACCTGAAATGACACTTCCTTGAATTCGCAATCGGTACTTCCAAGGAGCGTGGTGACTGTGATGGGGCGGGTTGGGCCATCAATTTCTAGTAGTGAAGCCATCCAAGACCGTAGGTAGACAGCGACTTCCCTGCGTTTGAAATAACCTTCACCGGGACAACGTGTAGAAGTACTGTTTGACGATCGTCCTCGGTGAGCGTGGTGAAGGTCTCCATTCCTTGTCCTTCTGTTACTGCTTTTCGATCAAGGTCGCGATGAAGCAATTTATGATGTGGAAATGTGGCCTTACAGGGGCACTTGTCCGTCGAGGGGCATTGAGCCTTCATATGACCTTCTCCAAGACACAAGTGGCACAGTTTGCTCTCCTTCACAATCTGCCATCTCTCCTCGATCCCTAGCTTCTCAAATGCCCTGCATTCCTTCAATAGGTGTCCCTTATGACAGCAGGGGCACGTTGTCTCTACAGATTTTGTTCCCGCATTGATATTCGTCGTCAAGGTGGATATGTGTCGACGCGGAAGTGGGATCGGTTGCTCTGGGGTCTTTGGCTTTGTTTTTGTCATTATATGACCGAACTGTGGATCGTTCATCATACGAAGTTGTTGGTTTAGGAGTTTGAGAACGTGATCAAGACTGGGGCCTGCGGGGCTGTCGTCGCGGATTCCTGGTACTCTTTTGGCCCATTCAATTTGCATGTGCTGGGGAAGGCGGTCAATCAATCGCTCGATGTTGCTTGATGCGTTCATTTCGTGTTGGTATCTGTCGTTGGAGTTCAAAACTTTGAGGCAGTTTCGCAGCTGGTTCTCGAGGTTGGCGAGGGCCTGCTTGTCGCCTCTTTCAAGCTTTGGTCCCTGGATGACTTTCTGCAAGCAGGATTTCACAACTTTAGACGGATGACCGAACCTCTCTTCTAATATGGCCATGGCCTCTTCGTAACCGTCATCGTCTGTCTCAAGATGTTCGATTGCATCTTTAGCGTCACCGTCGACAAAGTTCAAGAGATGAGATGTTTTTTCTTTCTGGGTGAACCCCTCTTCTTCGATCCAGTCATGGATTCGCTTCTTGAACGTAGGAAACTGCGATGGGTCACCGCTAAACTTCCTTGGGTTAGGCTTGGGAACACCTTGTCTTTGCAACATCGTCTTCATTACCATCGTTGCTTCCGCGTTTTGTTTAGCGACTCCAACCAACTGCTGGTTCATTTGGATTATCGTTGAAGCCAGTGTCTGCTCGAGCGAAGAAAGGTTGAACGGCGAGGGTTGCGGGATTGACGAGAGCGGCAATTTATAATCCTGGGGTGAGCCCTTCTGAGGAATTGGAGTGGAGGCTGAGATGTGGTCGCTTTGACTTTGTACTTGGGCTTCAAGTAGGCTCCGTCCGCCTCGATCTACTTGCTCACGGAGATCTTCTATAGTAGCCTGCAGCTCCGCTTCTGCCCTTTGTATTTCCAGCTCAAGCTGGTGTTTTGACAGTGTCATTCTAGTAGTCCGTGAGCCAAGTGCCAAAAATAGGCTAATTGGTACCATCTSGAGGGGCAAATTCCCCCATACATTTTTAGAACCCTTAGGGTCTGTAGTTTACGAAAATGCCTGGTGGACATGTCAGAAGAGTAGCTAAAGGTGTTTGATTGATGTCTCCATGGTAACCATATGAAAAATCTTAAAAATTACAATAAATTTTCTTTTGGGATTTATTCAACTTTGGAGTGCATTGTAGTCATTTATTTGATGCAAACTTGTTACTCAAATTGTTAGTTATTGTGTGGATGTCATTATCAGATGTCAAGGTCAAGGTCAAATCCAAGTTCAAGGTCAAAATAGGTCATTTTTGGTAAAAAAGTCATTTTCATGTGTGTTTATGAAGTAATTTTCACTTTTAATTTAATGAATTAAAACATTAATTTACTAGCATCAATAAAAATAGATTAAAAATATTCTTAGATGTCTTTTGGCATAATTTTTGGTGTTGAAATTCTTAAAGAAAACCAAAAAAACAAAATTGGGTTTTCTGTGGTATGAGAAGGCTTGGTTCACAGCTTACTTACANACCGCTCGCTGTCAATCAACTTTAAAGTCCTTTTGCGTCAACAACTGGTTTTGATTGACACTCAATAGCTGACTGTGCRTCGTAAATTCTGTCTGAGCTAGTCACTTAGCAATGCAAACAACAGTAAAGAGGCTKCTCAGTGAGCACTACTCTTACTGGACAATTGCAATTGCCAACTCAYTGRTTGTGAATTTAATTATTAATAGTTTTGACTGTTTTTGTACCATTAACTTTACAGTGCACAAAATACAATATCTGGATATTCAACGAAGAGGGCATCTATATATTACATGGGTGCTAAGGAAAATGCAAAGCYTAAAGCAGAACATTGTAGTACCTATAGTCTCATGTCTAATAATAATGTGGCTAGAAAKACGAACAATGTGGACAAATGTAAAGCAGTTTTATCAAATCAAGGTACTGCAGTTGTACAAATAATGTTTTATCGCATTTTTTTCCCTTAATTTAAAATACTAAACAATAAAATACAAAAAAAAAAACGCAAGGGATGGACTGCCTGTGATAAAACTCTGTCAAACGCATTACATCCAAGAAATTTTGCAAAATAGCAATAAAAACATGACTAGTTATGAAACAAATTTGAAGATTATAATTGTTCATTCTCAAACGAATGGAAAATAAAATCGACACATGGTTATAAAACTTTATTTTACAGATGAACATGATGATGATGAAATCTCCTTTAAACCTGATGCCACGGCTTTAGAAAGCATTCTTAATAATAGAGGTATCGATAATCGGTCATTATCAAGACATACCATGGCTTCATACCATACTTCTACTAGAACAATGACARTGTCTAAAAGACAGTCACTATTTGAAGACAAGGTGAGTTGTTCTTTAATGAAAAATGATTTTGCAAATGGATGGGCGTGGTCARCCATATTCCAATAGATACATGTAATATTTCAACAAGCGATTTAAGGCATTTCCGAAATGGATTTTTCAAAAATCCTTGTTTGTTGTAGCCTGTGTACATCCGTTTCTCACCCCTCAAAAAATCGGGGAGAGAACGTTTTTTGAGGGGTGAGAAACGGACGTACACAGGCTATGTTTGTTGTTGTTGCTGTTTTGTTTTTTTGTTTTTTTTTTTTGTTCGTTTTTGTAAATTGTATATATTAGTTATAAATGATAAATCCATAATGATGTACGATCATAGTATCTTTTTGTATACTTTATATAWTTATGTATTTCGTGTATCCCTTCAATTATTACTCACTGCTTCGCGACCCGAAAACGAAAACGTTGCATTCTGTAGCATCAAAGAGATAACATTTSATAGAATACACTTTGGCGATTGTACAGAAAATCGCACRTGGAAATACTTCATGGCGAAAAATAAGAGTCTTTCTTATTTTTATTGCAATTGTAGCAATCTAAGCGTACATCAATATACTACAATGGCACAAGACAAACAAGATCAAACACARATTCTTCGAGGCAATCTCTTATTATAAAGTCAAGTACAAAAGGGATAACATCAGACCCACTTGGTATCAGGCGAATGACATCTGTCAGTCGACCTACAGGAAACC